GAAAGAACAATAGTTTTCTTCTTAGTTTTCACAGCAATTCTATCGCCTTATTTATTCATGAAATGTCCTGATTACAAAATTGAGTTGTTGTATCATCATTTGTTATTCTGAGGAATGATGTTATTGGAATAATTGTCATGACATTGATGAAGCATAAAGTCAAGTTACTGACTTTTGAAACGTACTACACGAGTTTTTATTATGAATTTACTAATCCATCATTCACATTGACAACAGATTATGACGAATACTAGACTTTTGTTTACAGTATAAACCTGTTCACTTCCAACATCATTAGTTGTGAAACAATGACAGAGCAGTTACATACATGATATTTAAGACAGTGATAAAAATATTCGTATTTTGTCACTCTTAACCACTGACCGCCTTGATGAGCGATGTTTTGTGGTGCAGGAGTAGGTTGGAAGAAAACTAGGGGCGGTCAGTTCAAAACATGACACAAATCCATTACGTCACTGATAAGCGGATTGAGCTATGTTCGTAGGGGTAGACTACGTGGTTGGGATCTGCGAGATGATAGCAACCGATGGTTAGAGACCTTGAATGTGACATGGCTCAAAATCGTTTGTAATGGTGCAAGTGCATCAACTATTTATGTTCTCTCAAATTCTAATCTTCTAATTCTTCACGTCCCTTTTTTCTCTTCCCATAGCTATTTCACTGGTTTATGTTCATTGAATAACATCTTCAAACCCTAATGTTTATACCTTTACTACCTCTACCTCTATGGGATTTAAATCGACAATTGTATCGCTTCGCTAATGTGGTATGTCAACTTTAACCGATGTACATACGTATGCACGAATTTCTACGTTGTTGCTGACTTACTGGTTTTACCTCCTCCGTTATCTCCTTTATAGCAATATTTATTAATCATTTTATTTTTGGAAATACCTGTTTCTTTTAAATTTTATAGATCAAAAGACTGTATTAGACACCGTATTAGAATGAGAAATACATAACTTACAATATCATAATCAAAAAGCATTTAAAACGACATGAACGTTATGAAGTATTTGTGAATTTTTAAACACTGGAGGTTCCAACAAAATTAAAACGCCGATCTCTGTTCGTAAACAGTGGAGGGTAACGTTACACTATTAATAATCTACACCAAAGATTGACAACATTGTTTTCAAATACATTTAACTATTGTCTAATTAAATATCTTCTGTACTTTTGGGTTTAGCTAACAACAAGATACATTGTTGCATATACACTATTCCCTGGATTTAAATGACGAAGCAACTTGTGGGACCTATCTTAGTGTTTTAAGATCAAGTGTTGTTCTCTATTCCATGATTGTAATTGCACGACTTACGTTTAATGGTTTGGTAATGATGATGATTCCTCTGATGTATTTCAAACAATTTGTTGCTAGAAAAGCTAACAGACAAACATATCACTTGTGCGTACAGCTTGATCGAATTTCTTTAGAAGATTATTGCAATAAATGACACCTTACAATCAATATCTTAGTGGTACATTTGTCAATTTTATTTTTTGAAGTTATAACACTGGATAAATTGTAAGTTGGTCTATCTGTCATTATAGAAGTTTTCTTCTACCTGAAGTTTGTGCTGATGATGTCGTCTAGAAGAAAGATGAAAGCTCCGCAAATAAACAATCCAGATCAAAGAACAAAACTCTCTCAAAATTATTCAACCGAGCTACAAATCTCCACAATCTCGAGTCAATTAGTTATTTAAATAAAAGTTTACCGTTGACCTTTTTCGATATGTTCAATCCATCGTAGCCTAAACATATTTCTTACCAACCAAAACCGTTCAAAATCATTATTTCGTTGTTTCAATCAAATATGCCGATGTTACTTTGCATTATTTAAATACTGGATGGGATAAACAAGATCAGTCGTCGATTATTCAATCGTTTAATAAAATTTACACCACTGTCTAATGATAAAAATTGACCAAGCATACTGAGAATATTAGCTGTCAATCAGATAACTTCTCGGTTCGAATCGATGTATAAAGGTTATTTCTGTTCTCTAAATTTCTAAAAAGATATTAGTTAGAGAAGTATCAAAACTCACTCAGTCTTCATACAATAAAGTATACTAATGAAAAAGTATTATTCTTATTTATCCAGATAGAGCTAGTAGTGTGGTGTATGCTACATACATCTTTCAACATAAATTGCATGTAACATGCCTGATAACAGAAGGCTAAGAATATTGAGTTGAAGAAAACAGGGATTGAAATAGAAGGGAATTGTGAAGTGGAAGAATCATACAGAATCTGAGGGACAATTGATTAGAGATTTGCAAATGAAGCAGTTAATGTATGGTTCTCATGTTCCACGAAGATTTTCCGTGGTTTTGTATGAAATAATAAATAGGTTATAACCACTCAAGTCTCGTTCATTATAGTAATTAGCTCAAAGTATATATGACTTACAGATGATCCGATTGTAGGTGAGACCTTAGGACGAATTTTAAGTGAACTTGAGAAATATTAGCCAATTAGGGAACAGTTAGTATAGAGTAATAATACATTATACAAAACCAAAGAATAAAAGTGGATACACTTCTTTTACATGGTTCAAAATCTTGTCATGGTTAGGAGAACGTTCTGAGGTTTTAAAATCGTGACGCATACGGTAGAGACACTCATCCATATGACTCGATAATAGTTGGCCTCTGTAGCCATGATCTGGCGCAAAAGCTCTTTCAGCCTCGACTACATAGCTTTAGTATTGTTTGTGTGCACACCGGTTGTGTAAGCTTGTCATTTTTGATTACGCATATATCTCTACAATACTCATACCATATAACATCCAAAGCTTCAGTAACATCTAAAAATGTTGCAGTCAGTGTTAATGGTGCTTTTATTATTCATTTCGCGACCAATATCATAATTTGTCTTAGTCTCAATCTGGATCGAGGGAAAAAAGCTCCTATTCTAGCAGACCTCCTCCAACATATATTCCATCGAAAGATAACATCATCACTGTATTCTGCACAAGATCCATAAGTGATTTGATTACCCCAATCATAAATAAAGTAACTTCTTAGTAGTCCTATTTGTTGTTGCCGCTCAATTATTAAGTCTCTTCTAAAATCCGTTGTGAACTGATCGTACGTGAACATCAGGTACTGAAATTGGCGCCGTGACCGTGAAATCTCTCAAACGCTTCTGATTTGTTCGTCCATAGATTGTAGTCCCGCCCTACATTTTTGTTTTCCATCCTTGATAACCTGGTAGAAATGTCTTCTTTTTTTCATAATACTACATATACTTGCTCTCGTTTGTTCTTGTAGAGTCTACTTTTAGTTTTTGGTTTTATTTGTTCTGTTAGTATTCAGCTTTACCTTCGAAACATTGTTTCTACTGCGCTTTATTGAATAATTGTTACTGGGTTCGGCGTTGCACGGTAGATTAGCAAACGTCGTTGCGCTGCATTCTTTCTCATTCCTTTTCAGTTTTAAGTAGGGTTTTTTTAATGTTTCTTCAAACCTTTCAACTAACACGTTAGACTGCGGATGGTATGTGGTGTTTCGATATGCTTAACGGTGTTGATGATGCAAATCTTGGAAAATTCCTCAAAGATAGGCTAAGATCCTTTCTCACGTACAAATACATCCGAACACGCAAAAAAAACAGCTGAATACCTGTGTCAATTTTCCCACAGTAGAATTCACTGATATAGACTTCACGAAGTGAACTCTTGGTCATTCGGAGAAAGCATTAACAATTACTAAGAACTGTTTCCCCTTTTCTGCGGCTGGCAAAACTCACGTACCTTCTTGACCATGGATTTGTCGGAGCTCTCCAAAGTTGTATTTCCGTCTTTCAAGGGGTTTTGACGGCTTTTGCACATGCAGGACACTATACAAAATATTCTTCGGTTTGAGTATCAATGTTTGACCACTAGTGAATAGATCAAATGAAAGCTTATGATAAGAGTAATGTGTATATACACAATCTAGACACTTTGTAGTTATGCAGTAAGAATACATTTGTTAAAGCCGTTCATGAATAGTTCCTGGGAACTATAGATATTGATCCGAAACAGCCTTAAAACTGTAATCTTATCAGTTTCCGGACATCATCATTTAAATACTGCCTCAAATACTGTTTTCTTTTTACAAATTCTACCTCTAAATGATCTCGACTTGTTTACTCACTGTTATGTACAGTTAAAATTGATAATCATTATTGTTCAAATTCTCTTGGTCATCAGTGTTTATTACATCATGTTGTATCATATCTTAATATTACACTTGAATATATGGTTGTTAGCAGCTGACAATGAAACCACTCATTCTATTGTACCTTAATTGTTATTGTTCAATTATCATCACAAAGTATTTCAAAAAGTTCCTCTTTTTTTCATTTCTTGATCGATCTTTGCCATAAATATTGAGTGGCCGCCAGTTAAATGTTAACGATCCAGAAATAGATATCTGAATAATGAATATTGCCAACAACCACGATATCTTTGAATGGGCTATTTTGTAAAATGTACAGCGAAATGTTGTAAGCTTCTCACAAATGCACCTGAATAGATTATGAGACTAATAGGCATAATGTAGTAGAACTAATGATTCATAATCATCGAATCCATTCAAGACCTAAATCTTTATGGAAGATTTACGCATAAAGTGTATAATAATAAAATTTATGCATTTATCAAAATGCTGGTCTGCGACCTATGCTCCATTAGGAGTAACAGGCGTAAGTAAGTAAGTAAGTAATTTATCAAAATTAACTACAAAATGATCTATAAAACTCAATTCATGGTTGATTAAGACATGAATAGCACATCCACTGAAGATTACCGGAAAGGTTCATTACACATCAAACAGAAAACAATAATCATTAATAGGATGAACTATGTAAGTTAGATTACAATTAGTAGTAAAAAACAAAAAAAACAATTAAATAGTTCATAGTTCTTCTAATTACCAGTTAAACTAGATTGCAGATTGAATCTTGTATATAAGAGATATCAATAAGAGATACCATGTTTACCATCCATTCACAAAAAAAATATACACACACACCCAAACAAACGGTTAGTTTTATCAAATTAACCAATTTGCAGTTTAATGTTTCATTACTCAATAGAATTCTAAGAAGATTTTGTTTCCATCTGTTTGAATAATCTAATATACGTGGTAACATAAATAAACCGAATAGGACTGTGATATATATCAACATCTCTGTAATTTGTCAAGTAAGTAATGATGGATCATATCTACTTTAAATTACTTTTTCGAAATTCCATGAACCATGATTTTTCATATTTTCATAGAGGAGAAATCATGCACCCTATACTGATTGAATGAATACTATCTAATGATAGATGGTTAACTATAACTCGCGCGCGAGACTGATAGGTTCTGGATTCGAATCTCGTGACTTTGGATCGTAGATGCATACTGCTGAGGAGTTCCACAATAGGACGAAACGGTCGTCCAGTATTTTCAAGTGTTCCATGGTGATCTAGCACCAATTGACTCATAATCTTAACTACTAATATCAGTTAAATATTTAATTTATTTTCTACTAAATTAACATACTTCATTACAATCAACGAACAAGCCAAGTAAAAAATTTTATTCAGTCTTCTCTTATTGCTCGTACTGCGATTCGGGAAACAAAAAAAATACTAATATTATCAGTATATTATTTCTGGTTATCGTATTTTTAGCGAGTTAGTTTTCTACAGGATGGGTTCGCTAACCTCATGCTCAAGCCTCCTCCTTTATTCAGGCTTGGAGCCGGCAGTAGCTCCAGAGGGGCTCCAGACGGATTTATGTTAGTAGTATTTAACATATCGACTAAAGAATACATTTAGATGTGCTTATACTTAGAACTTCCTTACCATTCAACACTCTGTGCGTTAAATTATTTGTTACCGATTCATATGTAAGAGATTATTTCCAAATGTAAGAAGAATCCTACAGTATGGGGAATACACTCTGAGTATATTAGTAGTTCATATCATACAATTGTAACTAGATATCCTTCTTTATGGCTTTACCGTTTGTTTTTTGGTTATTATTTCCAGTTTAAAATTTGTGAGAAATAGAACTTTAATGACCAATCATTGTTACAATAGAAACATGCTAAGGAGCTCGTAATATTTATGGTTATCAATCAAGAAAGTCGAATTCTTAAGGACCTATGGTAGCCATTTTTTCAACAAGGAAAAATTTACAGTGATCAGTTATTACCAAATAATCATCAACTTTTACGATATAAACTAATTATAAATGCAACTTAAGAACATAGACCTAATCATATATAAAACATGTATTGGAACTCCGACTGCGTCGTATGATATACAGTGATCACATACAAATGATTTAATGTTTTATACCATATCGTCTTATATTTATATTAATTTCAATGGTTAAGATGATGAGTCAGTTGAAGCTAGATCACCATGGGAAACCTAGAAGCACTGGACGGCCGTTCCGTCCTATCGTGGGGCTCCTCAGCAGTGCACACACACGACCCCGCGCCCCGCGAGATTCGAACCCAGGACCTACATGGTTTCGTGCTGGAGCACTTAACCGGCATCCAATAGTGTTAATGTCTAACTTCAACTAATCCACGAAATTGAGTGACACATCCGCCATTGTCACAACAGATTTGCTTGAACTCCACCATTGAAAATACTATAATATCCACAAAACACATCTGATATTATATTTATGTCTTTGAACATGTTTTAAAAAAATGGTATCATATTATTCGTATTACTAGATACACTGACGCAAAATGCTTCCTGATGTCTCCAATAGTTCATGGAAGTACAAATCAAGAAGTATAACTACAAATATATATAACATCAGTAATAGTTCTATTATACCATATTATACGAAAGAGGTAACGATACAGTGAATACTTTTAGTTCTTTATTGATTTCAGGTTTTCATATTTCTCTCAATTGAGATAGCTATTACTCTGTTGATTATCATGATCTTATCAATCCTGTAAGTTATTCAATAAGCCATATGAGAGTAAATATTTTGTAGATTCATAGCTGGATATCTATGGAATTCATGGACAGTTTTTCTTTGGGTATTGGCGTACGTTTTCTATTATTGTAATCTTATCATTATCATCAACTGCTGAGTTGAATGTAATAATAGAAATTCTAATCAAATTTTCCGAAACTTTGCTTATTGCATTCGTCTGTGTGCTCAGCTATAAGGTCATAAACATATATCATCATATGTGTCAGGACTGTGATCGATCAGTCTTTTATTCAGATATGTAGATTCTATGCGGATCGCCTCGATACTGCCTTAAGTCTTATGCAAGTATATCAAGCTGACGAGTCTCAAATAGAACCAAACGCACGTTCTGAATCCCACATTACATTTGTAGACGGACGTGGGTGATCAGTAATTTCGATAATAAAATATGGTAATCAATAGAAGGTAAAGTACATCTGAAATTGAACTAACGTTAAAAAGCATTATATTTACATTTCATAGCATGCTAATCTCATCAAATCATTCAATGATGTAGTACTGAACATCTTTTATGTCATTTCTCATTTTATATTCCAATCACATTTTCAATATTAAACATTAATCTATGATTAATACGTTAGTAAATGTGAGTTCCTTCATCTTATGTGTGAATGTCATTGAATTGCATAAGTGTTACGTAACTTGACAATCAGGTTTTGAGTTGTGTAAACGTATTACATGATATTTATTATAAGATTGTTTGATGGATTTCATTTAGTGATATCGAATCAAGTTCGATGCTGGTTGGCATTCATAATGAAGAAGAGCCTGTAAAGCAGAGATAACTATTTCATTGAACGGAATATACCCATTCAGACATAAAATAAGGAAAGAGAACTCTTCGCTAACCATTTCATTAACACAGATTTAGAATCAACTCATTATATCAATCCAGCATTTGAATAGAATCTTTCACTTAACAGGAGAATGATATGACCTAGTAAGCTTGTAATCCATTCTTATTCTGATACTTGGACAACATGACACACTTAAATGATGTTTTGGCATAAGGCTAGTCAATTGGTTTCAAATTATCAACTTATTATTACTTTAATTCAAGTATTTCAAAGACACTGGTGAAAATATGATTGGTGTCGAATCGAAATGTTGAAATATCCACGGATAATGAGTTTTGGAAACTATTGTTAGCGGTCAGTCACTCATTGTCAAATACACAGTCGGACATGCATACTATCTGAATAACGATAACTTCACCATTCGTATAAGCCTTGCCATTCAAAAAATTCTATAACCTATATTACAATTCATAATAAACCATAGTTCATCTTTTCTATATTGTATGGTGCTTGTCTTAATTTTTTAAACTACATGTTATTGTTAAACTGTAAGCCTCATTTTATTTAATGTTGTCATCACCCCTTAGTCAAAATTATATTCAGTCAGACCATTTAGATTGAATAGAACAGCTACTTAGAAACACAAGACAGTAATCAAAATATATCTGGAACATTCATAATTGACCAAGATAACATTATATATTCTCGTCTAATATCAGGCATGAACAATGAATCATCTGAATAGCTTTATCTCAACTATTCGCTTATATTGTAATAATAAGTGGTTTAGAAGTACATTTATATGACAATGACATTTAAATATTACACTAATTCATTGTGATCTATTTTCTAGTTGGTCTGCTTTTGCATTAGCAATGTTGATTATATTCTATCAAAAAATAAGAGATGAAAATCCATTGAATATTTTTCTTCTGGTTATTTACGTAAGAACTGTCAATTTTTGTATTTACATTACCAGTTGTTGAACTTTTTAAATATATGAAAATTTGTTATTGATTGAAATCATGAGGGAATTCTCGGAGTTCTAGTGAGATAGCCGTGACCAGTGGAGCTAATCCGTGTTAGGTAGAGACAGGTATCTACCTCAGTACAATCGAAGATGATCGTTAAGTTTTGTGGATTGTTTGAAGTTAGACATTATCACCGTTGGATGCTGGCAAGTTCAGTGGTCTAGTAGGTTGAGCGTTCGCGCGGGAGACTGAAGGCCGTGGGTTCGAATCCTGCGGGTGGGATCATGTGTGCGCACTGCTGAGGAGTCCCCTAATAATACTAAGCAGTTTTTCAATCGGTTCATGATCTCAATCAATAACTTAATAAACTCCACAACCCTATATCGATGAAAATTTGTGTCTAACTAGAAATGTGATTACATTCACGAATATAATATGATTCCTTATTATGATATAGTGTATGTAAATAGAGCTAACTTACTTATTGATCTCAAGAACAATCTATCTTTGATCCATGAACATCAAACAAGTCAGGCAACAAAGTATGAGAGAACTCAGTTCCACTCACATTTTTACCGATATCAAAAAGCAAATATGCATTACACGATGATCCTCAGGACAAATATTTCAAAATGAATCCATATCTATACACTTACTTTAACACTTAAACTTCTCATTAGGCAATGATGTATATATGATGAGAGAAAAAACTGTATTAAAAATTATTTATAATGTAACTCCCAAGTGCTCATCAATTGAAGTGGCTCACATTGTTTCATTCATCTATATTTGTCTTGTAAAAATCATTCAAACCATCGATTTTGCACTTCACAAACAAAAATGTTTGAAAAATTGCATATTTATTTGCCTTTATACTTAAGCACAATCTAGGAATATTGAATAGTGTTTCTTTATGGAAATTGCCCACTCAACATTAACGACTGACGGTACTCCTGGACTTACAGTTTTATAAATGCATACACTTTCCCACTGTAGTATGATGTAGGTGGAATAGAGATTTAATTTGTAGGTTCGTATTTTTCTCATTACGAAAATATCAGTTGAGATACACCGTACATTGATAACATATACATATATAAACTTCAAGAGTGACTGTTCATACGTTATCACAAGTTGGATGACTTTACATAATGTATTTCCTGAATACTATTGTTGAAATGTATGTTCAGGTGGGAAGAACACACGTCCGTGTCTTCCTATGTTGTTTAGATATGGAACGACTTTTGAATTACGGAAGTCATTATTGTTCTCCAGAAAATGATATCATGAAAATTAAAGCAATCTATTTGAGATTAGGAAATAAATATCAGCTGTCTTGTAAACATTTCCTCACCATAATCTAGTAAACACATGATGTATGACGATAGATATTGTACAAGAACCTTTCTGTATGGAGTTAACTAAACGTTGATCAATGATTTAACTTTTATTGAATTGTGTTACATTTCAGTCGATATGGATCGGTACAGCGATTGGAATTTCGGTTTTAAAACTATGCATGTACTTGAAAGTTATTGCCATCGCAATCACATTGATATCTTTTATTTGTTCCATATTCATTGGAGCTGCAATCCGAACACGATTAGCTGATCAGTTCCTGTCAATTCTAATATATATTATGATTCTTTCCGCTGCTTTTGTGGCAGCTGCGATTGTATTTTATGTTTTAAAGCTTTGGGTATGTCGATGAATGAAACTGTTTTATTAACAAACTACTTATTATTAATATAAACACTTGTTTCATGCAAATCCATGAAAAATAAACACACACTTCAAACACAGTTGGCTTGGACAATACTCCAAATACACAGTAGATGACAATTGAATACTGAGTCTACTCACAAGTTTTCAATTTAAATAAACGTTTATGAAGCTGGTTTGTTTTCAGAAGGCATTTGTATTCATTTACTTAACTATGTACATAGAATTTTAGAAGTTTTCTAAGTGACATACTTATATAATACTTATCTCAGGTAGGTCAGTAATGGAATTTGGTAAAATAACGAACGAAGAATTGATTCGATAGAATTTTTTTAGGAATTATCGATTACGTTCAACTAAGTCGGATAATTCTCAACGTGTAATACGTTTCTCGATTACAGCAGAATGCGTTACGTAATCACACACCAATTCATTTGAACTTAAACTTTATTATGCACACTGATTTCCATAAATAAATAAAAATTTTTACAAATATAGTTAGATATACATATTTCACTAACAAGGAATACTCAATAATACTTCCTCCATTCACAAATTCAATCAAGAAACTTCTTCAATTTTCACTGACGTGACCATATCACATTGCAAATGATACATGTACACGACTGAATCACGGTCGTCATCTAAACGTCTTTCCTCCATCAGTAAATGGAAAGTAGTTGTGATTAACTTTTACAACGACCACACACCATAATTTGTGTGAAACCGATTCTTTCCTTTACATGAGATGCATTATTCTTCTTTTAAACAGTAAACGTGTGAGTTTATAGAAATTTAAAGATGGGTTCTACCTAAATATGCAGTTCAATTCATTTGATTCAGTCACATTTTGATATTGATAAATGTCTACATCATATCCATTTGTTAAATGTTAACTTCTCTTTGGATTTTAGGTTGCACTGATCGCTCTCGATGTAGGTGCTGACATATTATTATTTCTTGTGAGTAACATGCACTTATGTATTTATATACACAGCAAAACTAGTCTTCCTAATTGGTCAACTGTACAATCAGTCGTTTAGAATGATAAGAGAATTTGCTACTGTATGCACATAGTAGCAGTTTGTTGAAGTGTGAATGTGAATAGTATATTCATTCACTTAATATCATGCTTCACTCTTTCTTCTAGTTTTAAGTAATAGACATTATTCTCTTAAACGTAAACTTGGATTACCATTACATATATTTACATTTACTTGCAAGACTAAAAATACTACTTATATGGTTGCATATGGATGTAGATCTGTGTTTCAATGACCCATTTCAACAATGTGATATTTTTAGTGTTAATATATGCATGTGTTATTTGTGGATTAATTTAACATTTAGCTTTTGGTTTAATCGAAATTCCTGACACGTATATTTTTGAATTTCTCCTAACAGATAACAATCTGTTTCAGTCAATTTACTGTTGGAAAATCAGAAGTACGGGTCTTCTTTCCACATTGGACGTTAGCAGTGTTAGTACTGTATACTCTCTTTTACATCGATTTATCAAACAATTTATATTTGGTAGGCATGGTAGATTTCATCAATACCATCAACGAGACGAATAGCACGCCGTGTTGGTAGTTTTACTGTTTATAAGGAGGTAAATGTGACCCTTTTGAGACTAAATTTGTGTTCAAGTACAAATGGATTTGCAATGAGATTTCTCACTCAGATATTTCCAATCTGTTCGATTTTATTCCATCTGTAATAAATTATACGCTGAACAAAATCATTTCTGAGAATTTTATGTTTTTACACCAGCTACTGTTGAATTAATCAGTAGTATATAACAATCGCGTAAAATATTAAACAATCTTACTACCTGAACAAACGATTTATTCACATTAGTATGAATCAAGTCTCTTATGAATGTAGGTGAACATATAGGAAGATTAAGCGAAAGGAGTGAGAGACAAGCACATTCATGAATATCTTCATATGATCTACAGATTATAGTGCACATTTCTTACATTACGTTGAGTAAATTCATTCCTGAATGAATCACCAATTAAGTAAACAATGTCTTGAATTTACTCAATCACTTAGGTCGAATTTCTCAAATACAATTCAGTTGTATCGGAATACAGAGTTATAACATCGCTCTTTCAAGGAAAAGTGTAATTCAAATAGGGATAATATGTAACTAACAGCCACGACACAATAGATGTTTTCGTCAAACTATATTTACATATTTCGTGAAGACATTTACTGTTACGTGTTCAAATTAGAATGCCATTTGATTCCTTAGTTTTATCGACGAGATACGAGAATCAATACACTTGTGGATTGCTCAGCATGTATTAATGGCATATGCGAATAAATATAATACTTTTATCAGCCGTTATAATACAATAGTTCTGACGAAGAATGTACATTTTACTCGACTACTATTAAGTAGTATTATATCCTTGTAGCCATACTACTTATACCCAAAATAAAAAAACCACTACAATTCCCAAGACTCAAAGTAACAACATCAAAGACTGATTCAAGTGAACATTTATTCACTTCAGTGATATTCAACAACGACCACGCTGATTTTGTGAAAAAAATTCTTAGTTCGACTTTTCGTCTCAAGTTATTATTATTATTATATCAAGAAAAATCGTGATAAATCTCTTCATAAATAGTGTATTGTAATGTCCATGCATTTAAATATGATTATTTCAGTGAGCATTGATGAAATATCATTGTAATGTCAATTGTTCAGTACTCAAAGCATCTCTATCACTCATTCTGTCGGCAAAAGGAATCACTGATCGTTGCAGAAAAGTGTTGACATTAAGAGACAAAACGAAGTCTCACTAAAGTTTATTTGTGCATACATATACAACTGTAGAAAATGAGATTCAACCATCACAAATAAAAGACTATCCCATAGGTTTGAAGTTATTCTGATGCTGCAATATTGATGTCCACATTTGAAAGTGATTTTCAATGAATTCCACAAGCCGATAATAATTACTGATGTACTTAATTGATTATATAATACACAGAAAAAATATTATCGAAAATTATGTATACATGATTCACTGTTGCATTTTAATCGTATTGAGGTATAACTGATGATAATTATTGATAGTTGCGATGCGTCGTGAAGTTCATAATGTCAATAAAGTAACTATTTATATATTTGCTTTACAATCTCACAACTACATATATCAGAAGAGGTTTTTGTGGATATTATAGTAATTTCAATGATTGAGATCATGTGTCAATTGAACGGCCGTTTCATCCTATTGTGGGACTCCTCAGCGGTGCGCGTCTACGACCCCGCCTCACGAGACTCCGACACAGTACCTATGAGTCGCGCGCGCGTGCGATCACACTCTACACCACTGAGCCTGCATCCAAATGTGGTTATATCTAACTTCAACCAATCCACGAAATTGAGCAATACATCCACCATTGTCTTGAGTTAGTTACTATCTCACAACATACGCGGTTAAACTCGATTGAACACTGCTTCTCACTAGAACTCTAAGAAATACCTCCAGGTTTTCCATTATAATCTAGCTTCAATTGACTCATGATCTCAACTATTAACGAACTGAAATCCTCAATACTGTGTATATGTTCTCTAAAAGTTACAACATACGGACGTAATCTTTTATTATATAATTATCTATCAGTTTGATAGGTCTGAGTTTGAATCTCGCGAGGCGGGATCGTAAATGCGCGCTGCTGAGCAATCCCAAAATGGGATGAGTCGACCATCCAGTGCTTTAAGGTATTCCATGACGGTTTCCCCAGCACCGTCCTTTCAAAAAACAATATATCTTCGGGACTACATTCAGCCCCATGAACGGTTTTCGACGCCAGTCCAAACTCCTTAGTGTCCTCGACTTCGAACTTCCCCCCTATTGTTCTTCATTGTGTCCTCCGAAGTTCCTATACTTGGAACATTTGTGATTATCTCCCGCAGAAGACTCACTTACCTGTCAGCCCTGTTCAATGTCCTTTTTACTCAATGTGTTTGGTTGATGTATCTAATCCATGTTCTGAATGTCACATGCACTTTCTACAAAACGTTTCATATTCTCTCTTCGAAAATTCCAGATCCTCATCGATTTCCCCAATTGTATGACTTAATGGTGACCTTATCACCTACATTAGAACTTCGCATATTCTGAATTTGTCCGCACATATCCATTACTCTAAGTGACAACATGGCGCTGAATGTAGTCCTAGTACTTCTTCCACATATAAATTCAGCTAAGTCTTCCTATCTGAAACAATAGGGTTAGGTGTAGTTCTGTAAGCTGTTAAGAATTTCGTGATTACCAGATTTGTTCTTTCGTCCACTCTTTCACTAATGCTCTTTTAAATATGTCAACAAAGCGCTACTCCTGTTCATTTGATTGAGGGTGATAAGTGGAGATTACAAATCTGTTACTCCATTAATGCTACAGTAGTGCTTGAATGATTCTGAAGTGAATTGTGAGCCGTTGTCGATCAATAATGATTCCGGAACTACGAAGCAGCTAAGCGGTTCAGACAACTTGCTGATTGTTTCACTGGCTGTGCAATTTACCATAGTATAAATTTGTGGCCATTTTTCGTGAGTGTGTCCACCATGACTAAAAACATTCTTCCTCGTACTGGGCCGGCAACATCTGCGTGCAGCTACTCCAAGGGACTATTGAAATTTTTTATTTTGTTGTGGTTCACATTTCTCTGGATTTTTGGCTTCTTGTAAGCATTGTGAAATTTTGATAACATTACATAATACATAGTACATGAGTAAATCCCGCCTGTGAAAATATAGTGGCAGTTATCCTTGAAAACGACGGTATAATCACTTGGTGAGAGAGTAATCACTATTTTGTCTTTAAGTCTTGTCATCCATATTCACCAATTAAGTCCAATATTGAGAACAATATTCAGTCGCAAAATATGAGATATGTTAATTGTGAATCTAAATTAGTTTGATAAAATTAGTTCCAAAAGAGATTGTAGCTCAAGTGATTCACACGTTTGTTGGTGCTGATTGGATGCATGTCTTTGGAGAATTCTTGGAAATTACAGAATAGTCATGTCATGAATTAGTGATTAATCACCTGCTAAACCAAATCTGTAATATGAAATGATAGACATCTAAATAGAACTATGGCAATTGATTTGATTGACAGTTTCATTTTGTTACACCACACATAACAAGAAGTGATTGATGTGACGGGATGAAAAGTTATAATAAGATTGATTTACTCATCATGATTTTTGTTCAACATTAATTCCGTTTTATGCTAATGAGGTATGGCAACTTGGACCGCTACATATATATGCCTACTACTACGTTGTTGCTGACTGACATTTTTTTAATTCAATGTGATGATTACTCAGTGTAGTATTTGTTTGTTCTTCCCAGTGTGATATTTTATTTTGTATAACATACGGTATTATTGTATTAAGTTAACATGAACTACACTCAGCATGTGATTTGTTATAACTAAGTATTTTTCATATATGTGATTTTTTCCTAATTATTAAAAAATTGAGTATACAGTCAATATATAAATGAGTGTATTTTCGACTAGGGCGGTCGTCGGAGTGTTTTGGTGCTTAATAAATCTTCACTTGCATCAGTTTTTGTCATCTTATTTTCGCGTCGTGGGAATTTCAGTGGTTCCTTGTTTCCAAGTTTAAGTGGTAAGCGATCACTATTTTTCAACTCATTTACTACAGCACTTCAATTGTGTTAACGTTCAAGTCTATTCCATCCAGTTAAATAAAAGAAGTTAATTACAGTTTATATAGTTTGTTTAAATCTTCATATCGATGTTTAGGATTGCACTGGATCAGTGTCTTATCGGCATATGTACATAATGTGCGTATTGCCTCGATATTGCCTAATTTACAAGCATTGTTAACAAAGATGGATTTTGTCTAACAATTTACCTGCTTCCGATATTTTATTTTCACTCCATGACTCGAAAATCAACTCCGGGATGAAGGCACATCTAGCTGACGAGTCTCAAATAGGGCGAAACGCGCGTTCTGGATTTCACTACCAGCCACTAACCAACTTTGCTTAGTAATTCGAATAGTTGCCTCTACCTTACTACATTCCAACATACATACACACTGCTCTTAACTCTGTCTATTCATGCAATTTGTGTCATGTTGTGCTATATATTATGATGTTGGTTAAGTTTGGAACATTTTTTTTAACTTCACAAACAAGAGTATGTAAAACATTGGAGATTGATGTTATAATTCATTGTGAATTTCGTACAAAGCAATTAGTACCTTTGATAAATTTCCATGATGACGAAGATTATCAGAACTATGTGATATACTAGCACAATGCATTTCGAACAATCTGATCACGAAAATTCAAATCCCCTTTGTGTATTCAAAAACACTTTGTTCTCACCTTAAACCTACACTGGTAATATTGGATTATATTCCAGAGTGACTAGGTTTCAAACTGTGTTCACATTATTATTTATACTCCTATTATAATCCTTGTCTTCTCTTACACTATTTCCAGTGTAGTTGACCTTTTATTTTTGAGTTAAGTCTGTTTAACATTCTCTATTCTTCTTGTCTTCCCCTCGACTCTTTTGTATATTGTTTTATACTACTTATTTATTTTCAGTAAAAAGTTACATTTCTGTCAAATTTTAAGTTTACGTTGTTACTATAGTTTGTTGTGTAATAAATTTACATAACATTGATTGTATTTATCATTATAATTACTTTATCTCAATCATACACAATTTTGCGTATTTGCTTAAAATCTGAGAACAATACAGTAAATACTTCAGTTGAAAAATGTCAATCATTTTTATCAGACTTGACTGTTCATTTGTTGTCACATCAATCCATCTCAGTTGTCATTCTATTCTCTATGATTTTCTCAACCATCTGCCTTCAGGCACTCCACATTCGATTGTTGATACATATTACTCATGTCTGCCGACATTCATAGCAT